TATACTGCAAACAATAGTTATAAGAAAGCTGGAGTGCCTATATTAATACTAGATGAATTATATAACAGGGCAAATAATAATATCAGAGAGAAAGAGATCCATATCATCATAATGAAAAGGCTCATTTGTAAGAGGGAAAATGGTCCTAAATGTTATTCACCTAATACCACTTGTTTAAAATAGATGAAGAAAAAAGATATCATTTGCCACAGCATCAGAAACAATGAAATATTCAGAGATAAGTTTAACAAAATAAATGCAGTGCCTATATGCTGAAAACTATAAAACCTTGCCTAGACAAAGTAAGGAAGACCGTAATACATGAAGAGATATACTATGTTGGATACAGATATATTCCTTTTTTTTTTTTTAATGTTTTTATTTATTTCTAGGAGAGAGAGAGAGAGACAGCGTGAGCAGGGGAGGGTCAGAGAGAGTGTGATTCATATTCTGAAATAGTCTCCAGGCTTTGAGCTGGCAGTCAGCACAGAGCCCGACGCGGGGCTCGAACCCACGAACCGTGAGATCATGACCCAAGCGAAAGTCGGATGCTCAACTGACTAAGCCACCCAGGCGCCCCGGATACAGATATATTCCTGGTGGGGACCCAAGGTAGTAAAACTTTGGGAAAAAATTTATATTTTTATAAAGTTAAACTTGCACTACCAGACAAGTCAGAAATTCTACTTCTAGGTATTTACTCAAGAGAAATGAAAACATATGTCTACAAGAAGACTACTATGAAAAAGCCCATTGCAGCTTTAATTCATAATGGTCCCAAATTGAAATAACCCAAAGGTCCATCACTAATTGAATGGATAAACAAATTGTTATACTCATTCGGTGAGATACTACTCATCAGTAAAAAGGAATGAACCAGTGAAATGTGGAACAGTGCAGATGAATCTCATAATCACTCTGCCATGTGAAAGAAACCATACAGAAGGGGTACATATGTAATAATTTCATATTTAAACAGTTGAAGTTAATCTATGGTAAAAGGATGCAGACCAGTAGTTGCCTAGAATAGATATGGGAAAGGGAATCAGCATCAGAGAGGCAGGAGAGAATATTTTGGGGTAATGGAAAGTTCCACATATTGTTTGGAGTGGTTAGTTATAGGTATATATACATTTACTCAAACTCATCAGACTTAAACTCAGGTGCATTTTATTAAATCCAAATTGGCTTTCTGCAAAGTAGACTCAGAAGAAGTAATGGGAATAATCCAATTGTTAGGAAGAAGTTGACTACTCGAGAAAAAAGGGATGATTAATGGTATGATGTAACTGGAAATGTGTAAGTTCTATGAGAATAGGGCACTTGATTATCTTGTTTAGAGTGCTGTTCTGAGTGAATGGCGTTATTAGGTTTGAGTGTTCATTGAATGAGAGAATTAAAAGTGAATGGGATAAAAGTCCAAAGCACACATTAGATACTGGGCTTAGATGGTAGGAGAAATACATTCTCTAAAGTAATAGAAGAATGTATGCAGATATAGGTAGGTTTGAGGCTCTTGTGAAATTATTGATCTTGAGTTTACTGCAATACTAATTTCCCCTATAGTTTAACACTCTCCACGTATGCTTGGATGCTTGGGCACAAATGCAAAGAAAGAAATTTCTAGTGTTTGTTCATATTCTAGAATTGATTTGATGAAAAGACATGAGGATGAAAAAGGTTTATTTAGGGTGTGGCAAGAGTGTTATTAAAACAATAGAGCATATAAGCAGGATAAGAAGTAAAGTGAAAAACTGAGGAAGTGAATGGGCTGGGACCCCAGTGAAGGTGAAGAATAGCTCAGTAGTGGGAGTAGCTGAACAGTGAAGCTGCTATCTTCCACCATTTGCTTGTTGGCTACCAAGAAACCCTCAAAGACTGAACAGTGTGGGCGCTATAGGAATCCTGTCTGTGAGTAAGAAAGAAAAGTTGATGGAGTATCAAGCATCATAGCAGAAGACAAAGCTGAGAGATAGATGAATGTATTGAGTCAGAGTCAGTAGAAGGGACATAAGAGAATTTTAAAAGTAACGACAATCCCTACTATGGCAGCCTGCTCCTGGCCAGGATAAAAGCTAAGAGCCGTGGAAAAGCAAATAAAAAGAATACCACGGATTGGTGAGGAGGGAGAGCAACTGGAACTCTTTATAACTGTGAGAGTGAAAATTGATAAAAGTACTTTAGAAAAGTGTTCAACAGTGTCTATGAAAGGTAAACGTGTGTCTACCCTCTGCCTCATCAAATCCATTCCTGGGTACATGCCCAAGGGAAATAAGGGCATAGATCCATCAAAAGACATGTGCAAGAATATTCATTGCAGCTCTGTTCATGATAGTCTCCAGCTGAAAGATAAGAGCCTAAACTGGTATATTCATAAAATGGAATAATATATAGATATAGGAAGTATGACTTAGTAATATAAAAATGTGACTGAATCTCAGAGACATTGGCTGAGCTAAAAAAGGTGGACACGAAAGAATACATGTTATATGACTGTATTTATACAAAGTTGAAGAGCAGGAAGAACTCATGGATGACTATTTTTTATTTTATTATTAGTAGTAGTATTTACTTATGGATGATTTTGAAAGTCATAGAATGGTTATCCTTCTGGAGGTATTTTTGGAGGGGAAAGGAATGTAAAGGAAATACTCAGAAGTGATAAGAATGTTCTATACCTTAGATCTGAATTAGTATTCTGTATGTATCGCTACACCAAAAAACAGATTTTGACAATCTGACAATCTTAGTTAATGAGATCTATTTGCCCTACTGATGTTTACTTTGACCACTGATGATTTGTTTTTATTGCTGTCATTTTAAGTTTTTGGTTTTTCTTTGCTATATTTTCATGTTGTGTTTCTTTTGTTTTTTCTTCCCTTTTTCTGTATTGAGCAACTTTCTTTTGTAACCTGTTCCTTTTGGTAATTTGGAACTTTTACTATTTATCTGTAGCCTATTGAACACACATATTTAAACCAGTTTTTTATATCAATGAAAAAATAAATAATAACTAGGCAACAACCTAGTTCTCTTTACCAAAATAATCTGGTTTCTGTTACCTGAGCTTTATTGAAAAAAATCTGGAATTTTAATTCCAAATCATTTTTTTCTCATCATGTGTTATCATTGCCTGAGAAATCCTTAAGAATTACATTATGTTTTAAAAAAAATAAAATAAAAAAATTAAAAAAAAGAATTACATTATGTTTCATAACATCATTATCATTCAGTTGAACTATATATTTCATTGTATTTATTGATATACTACTATTGTTTTTATATTTTGTCTTCCCCAATGTTGGCTGCAGCGTTTACAAGGTATTTTCTTTTTTCTTTTTTTTTTAATAGTTCATTGTCAAGTTGGTTTCCATACAACACCCAGTGCTCATCCCCACAAGTGCTCTCCTCCATGCCCATCACCCCCCTTCCCCTCTCCCCCATACCCATCAGTCCTCAGTTTGTTCTCAACATTCAAGAGTCTCTCATGGTAATTTCTTAAATATATAGTTAATATACTTGCTGAGTTTGTGAGTGCCTGATGATTTTCATGCCTCAATCCCCAAATGCTTTCAGAAGTCCTCCCTTAAAATTGCTATGGGTTTCCAGGTCGCTGTGCTCTTCTGATCAGTGTTGGAGCCAGTGTCTTCTCCATTGCCCTCTGCTCTGCTGGAGGCCATCTTGTCTCACTGGCTCACGTCCCTGGAAACCCACAATTACCACAAGCTTGGTGCTTGTGGCAGACTTTTAAGAAGATTTGTCTCCCCGGAAAGGGCCTAAGAGGCTTGAGAACAAACACCGCTGACTTTCGTAACTGTCACAGTTTCTAGTATAGAGTGAGACATACACAAACAGCAGCTTTAATTTGGATGTTAGATAATGCTGTCCCAAAATCCAATAGCCATTTCCCCTGCAAGGGAATTTTTATCCCAGCTGTGCCCTTTTAGGTCACAGCTTACTGCTTCCTTCTCTGTCTTCTTTACCCTTCCAGCCTCACACAATTATACCTCCTTACTCAGAGTTATATGTCTCTCCATTCTCTGCCTAAAACTGAACACCAATTTTTGTTATATCCCCAGACACAATGGGATGTCCATTTAGAAAGGGGCCAACACGAAGAGCCAGCTAAAGCTTTGAAATTCAATTTTTTTGTCTTTGACATAAGCAGAACACCCTCCGTCACTGGTCTCTGGAAATGGAAGAAAAATAGTGTAATAATTTGCTTTCTCCTTGACCAAAGAAAACCCATAGGAGTCATGAATTTGTTATCGTGCATTTTGGCTACCCATGAATTCTCAAGATCTCATACCGGGATCTCTGTCTTCCTAGAGTTCTATACTTTTTCTTTTTATCATTCGACCATTTGCCCTGTTTCAGATTTTATCCAATTTTACACTGTGTTATGTGCAGTTTTCGACTACTTATTAGTTATTTCACATGTGTAATTTCTGCTTTCTCAGAAACAGTAGTGATTAGAAGTCGGTACTGATTCTTGAGACTCAGGGTGTCTAATATATACAGGTACTCAAGGAGTCTTGTGTATTGACTAAGAATTATGCCAATATATGCTATTTAATGACCTTCTAGTATGTGCCAGACAATGTGTTAAGGGCTTTACGCATATGATCTCCAATCCTCTCCTTGATCCATTGAGGAGATAAGCATCATTAGGCCCATTATACAGAAAAGGAAACTGTAATTTTAGCAGCTTAAGTAACTTGTTTGATTCCACATGGCTAAATTGAGAGACTGGATCTGTCAGATTCCAAAATACTTTGCTCTTTCTGCCATTACCCCGGGAATTCCAAAGCCACCAATATCTGCAACCGTATCTCCATCAGTGATGTTGTTTTAAATAAAAACTTTACAATCACTTAGCGGGCGGTGACCACATCGTCTCTGTATGATTATGTTCTCTTTGAGTTTCTAGACACCATTCATTTTTTATGTGATTTTTAAAGCTCATATGTGAACCTGTTATCTTTCTCTCTGCATTTCAGTTTGATCCATTAACGATTGAAAGCAAAAAAGCAGCAACTGTGGTGTTAATGCTTAATTCTCCAGAAGAAGAAATTTTGGCTAAAGCTTGTGAAGCCATTTATAGATTTGCTTTAAAAGGTTTGGCTTTTTCAGTTTATTTTTCTATTTCATTAGTTTCTTAAAATATTTACTACACAATGGGCACTCTCTCCTTAGTCTTTAATTCCTTTCTTGTCAGATGAATTCTTTTAGGCAACCAGAATATCATTTAATGCGTTACCTGAAAGTAATGTGTCTCCTTAAGTGCCTAACTTAATCTCAAAGAGTAATTTAGTCACTGTATAGAATAGTCACATTGAAGGTTTTATTGTAGTTTAAAAGATTGTAAGTCACAGGAGCTGAAAGAGCTCCCAGTGGTCAAAGCTGGAATGATTTGAGCAGCAAAATAAAGTAGTATTGGATTATAACCCAAAGTATAAATAAATATTTATGATCCTATATTAATAAACATAAATAATTGAATAAATAAATAAATGGAAAAGACAAATCTCCCATGCAGAATTCCAAATAATTTATGTACTCAGCCCTCAAAGAGGCAGAATATAACTTTTCACTCTTTAGGTATGAGCTTGGCATAGTGACTTCTTTCCAAACACTACAATATGGGGGTGCCTGGGTGGCCCAGTCAGTTAAGCATCTGGCTTCGACTCAGGTCATTACCTCGCAGCTTGTGGGTTCAAGCCCTACGTCGGGCTCTGTGCTGATAGCTAGCTCAGAGCCTGGAGCTGTCTTCGGATTCTGTGTCTCCCTCTCTTTCTGTCCCTCTTCTGCTCATGCTGTCTCTCTCTCTCTCTCTCTCAAAACTAAATAAAACATAAAAAAAAAATTAAAGACAAACAAACAAACATTACACTATGGAAACAGGAAGAAGGAGAAATTTGACAAACACTCTCTCAGCCAGGTGATCAAAATCAGAATCAACAGTGATAAATCATATTGATAATATGTGACCTTGATATCATGTAATGAAAATGGCACTTCTGTTATTTTTCCCCCAAAACTTATAACCCTCAAATCAGAAAAGTTCCAAGTCAAGGACATTCTTTTTTTTTTTTTTTTAATGTTTATTTTTGAGAGAGAGAGAGACAGAGCACTAGTGGGGGAGGAGCAGAGAAAGGGGGACGCTCAACTGACTGAGCCACCCAGAAGCCTCAGGGACATTCTATAAATATCTACCTAGTATTCCTGAAAATGGTCACAGCTATCAAAAACAAGAAAAGTCTGAGAAACTCTCATAGCCAAGAGGAGATAGGGATATATGATGACTAAATGTCACAGGAGACCTTGGGTAGGATCCTAGAACTGAGAAGGCATATTAAGCTAAAAGTAAGGAGATCTGAATAAACATAGACTTTAATTAATAGTAATGGATTAATGTTAGTTCCTTAATTGTGACAACTGTACCTACTAATGTAAAATGTTAATAGTGGGAAAATGGGTATGGGTTAGGTGGTAACTGTACTATCCTTGCAATTTTTCCATAAAACTAAAACTGTTGTAAAATCAAAAGTTTTTTAAAACACTGTACAAGTTAGATTCTATTGCACAGTTTATTCATAGAGGATTTACAAACACATATGATAATTATACTTTAGTTCATTCCAAGTGGTGATAAAATGTGACTTTTATTATACTTTATAATTTTTTTTTACGTTTATTTACTTATTTTGGGAGGGAGGGTATGTGAGCAAGGGGGAGGGGCAGAGGGAGAAGAGAGAGAATCCCAAGCAGGCTCTGTGCTGTCAGCACAGAACCCAACAGGGAGCTTGATCCCATGAACCATGAGATCATGACCTGAGCCAAAATCATGAGTCTGACACTTAACTGACTGGTATTGAGGATACTTGAAGAGTTTACTGTAACTTTGTCATTAAAAAAAAAAAGAAAGAAAGAAAACATTTTAAACTAAGAAGGGAGGAATTTGATTTTTAAGGAAGTGTTGATTTTTACACATTACTTTTGTCACTTGTATGAGAGAACAACAAATCATTCAATCAGCAAATAGTGAAATACTCTCCTTACTATAATACTCAGTCATTGTGGGGAATCCAGCAAAAAAACCAGAATCATTGCTTCTGGCAAGAATGGTTCGTGAGTAATTGTGTAGAATTCTGGGCCAGATTTCAGGGACCCATTGGATCACAGCTATGGCAGCATGAGTCTCACTCAGCCATATAGAGTCATCAAATGCCATTTCTTTTTATATGACATGAGGTGAAGAAACAGGTAGGGGTGTATTTTGTGCGAAATCAATACAGAAATTATTGTAAGTCTGGTGTTAGATACTAGCAGTATATTCTGTTTTTGTTTTTTAAGAGAAATGATGGGAATTTTCCTCTGGCCATGAAGGAATAAGAGGTCAAATTTACTTTCCTAATTGAAACAAGTAAGAAAACAAAAATAAGTGAAATAACAGTTGGCAAAACACTGAGTATTAGGCAGTGAACGACAGTGACTATTGAGAGACAGGAAATGAAGGAAATAAACTCTCTGATTACCCCAGCTTATTGATTTCAAAGACTATCCAGACCACATCACAGGAAGGGTTAACCTATAGAGAGGCCTGTAGACCCTGAGTTGAGAAGACAGATCTGAAAGTTAAGAAAGACAAAGGAAGCAAGAGTTTTCAGGATGGTGACAGACAGGAAAGAGTTGCATAGAAAGAGGAAGTGGAGGTTGGTAAAGGGTCCAGCTCAAGTGTTCAGCTGACTATTGATCACAATGTACACATATGGGAACTATTTGTAGTCAGACAAAGCACCTAACAGGATCAGAGCTAACAGTGCCTGGTGCTCACACAGAGCCACAAGCAGTGCCTATTCCTATCAGCCAGGCTGGAAAACCACAAGATTCGTGGACAATTGTATGGAATATACAGAAGTCTCTTGCTTTAGTAGTTAGAAATAATTTGTGCTAGATCGAGCTCTGGTCTAGTATTACCTAATAAATATTTAAAAAGCAAGACCCGAAGGGATCAGATTATTTCCAGATCATTGTGTCCTGAAACAAATTTGAAGAATACAAAAATCACCATTGACCAACTAGGTAAAATCCATAGTGCCTGGCATTCAATAAAAAAATTACCAGGTGTGAAAAGAAGCAGGAAAATCCAACCCGTAATGGGAATATAAATCATCAGTATATCAAAACCGACACAATATATGTGTAAATAGAATCTTTGGAAAAGTGCGAGAGGGACAGAAAATGTATTAGAATAAATAATAGCTCCCAATTCCCCCAATTTGATGAAAACTCTAAGCTTCTAGATCCAAGAAGCTCATAAAAGCCCAAGCACAATGAATATGGAGAAAATTACACTAAGACACAACAAAACAAAATTGCTTAAAAAGAGTAATAAAGAGAAAAATCTTAAAAACAACGAGAGGAAAGAACACATTACATTCAGGGAAACAAAAATAAAGATGACAGTAGATTTCTCATCCAAATTAGGGAAGCAAGAAGTCAGTGAAGGAACATCTTTAAAGCACTGAAAGAAAAAGAAAAACTTTAAACCTCGAATTCTATTCCCAGCAAAAATATCCTCCAAAAACATAAGTGAAATAAAGTCTTTTTCAGACATTCAAAAGCTGAAGTAGTTTATTGCAAGCAGGCGCACACTGCTAATTATGGGAAAGTAGGTCCTTCAGGAAGAATAAAGAGGACACCAGGTGGAAATGTGGATAGACACAAAGTAATAAAAATAATAAAGATGGAACACTAGAAATGTTAACAAAGAAAGCTTTTTCTTCTTATTTAAGTCACTTAAAAATCAAATTGGTTATTAAAAAATTTTTAGTAAAACATTTAATAAAATGTTTATTTTATATTTGAGAGAGAGAGAAGGAAACACAGAATCCAAAGCAGGTTCCAGGCTCCAAGCTGTCAGTAGAGCCTGACACAGGACTCAAACTCATCAACCTTGAGATCATGACCTGAGCTGAAGTCAGATGCTTACAGACCGAGCCACCCAGGAGGCTCTCAAATTGGTTATTTTAAACAGAAATAATAATCATACTGTGCAGCCTGAAGCATTTGTATAAATAAGGTATATGACTACAACAGAGCCAAGGTAAAAAGGGGGAAAATGGGAGTGTACTATTGTAAGGTTCCGTACTACATGTGAAGTGGTATATCACCACTTAAAAGTAGACTGTGATAAAGATTTATGCTACAGACCCTAACACAACACTAAAATAACAAAACTCAGAGTAATATCAAATAAGCCAACAAAGGAAATGAAATGGAATCATAAAAATAATATTCAATTCATACAAAGAAGGCAGAAATGAAAAGGAAAACAAAGGATGAGACACAAAAAACAAGTAAGATGGTAGACTTAAACCTAATGCTATCAATGATCAAACTAAATATAAATGTCTGAGTACCTCAGTCAACAGGGTGGCAGTGTTACATTCGATAAAAAGTAGGAGTAGTTAGATACAGACTTCCTCCACCTGGTAAAGGGTATCTATGAAATATCTATGGCCAACTAACACTTAATAGTGAAGGCTAAATGCTTTTCCCCAAGATCAAGAACAAAAGAATGTCTGCTCTTGCCTGTATGGGAAGTTCTTTTTCTTGCAACCAGGCAAGAAAAAGAAACAAAAGGCATCTGGAATGGAAAAAATGAAGCAAAACTATCTTTGATTTATAGAAGATTATGCCATCTTTTATATAGGAAAGTCTATTGAGTCTACAAAGAAGCTACTAGAACTAATAAATTAGCAAAGTTCCAGTATACAAAATGAGTATATAAAACTCAATTGCATTTGTATGTGCTAGCAATGAACAATTGGAAATCAACATGAAATTTAATACTATTTACAATAGCACCAAAAAGTATGAGATCATAGGGTGAATCTGACAAAAGTTGTGAAAAATCTGTACACTGAAAATACAGAGCCTGATGCAGGGCTCAAATTCATGAGCAGTGAGATCATGACCTAAGCCGAAGTCGGACACTTAACCGACTGGGCCACCCAGGTGCCCTGAAAGTCAAAACAATCTTGAAAAAGTAGAGTCTTGAGAACATACACTCCCTGATTTAAGACTATTATAAAGCTACAACAAGTAAGACAGTGTCATTGGCATAAAGATAAACAAATAGATCAAGGAAGCAGGATAAAGAAACCATAAATGGGCCCACATATATATGGACACTTTTTTCAACCACGGTACAAAAGCAATCCAGTAAAAAAAGTCAGTCTTTTTAACAAGTGGTTTTAGAATGAGGTCTCCATACAAAACTTAAAGCTATAAAACTTCTAGAACACAGAGGAGAAAACCTTTCTGACCTTGGGTTAGCCAACAATTTCCTAGATATGACACTAAAACATAGTCCATAAGAGGACAGTTGACTGGATTTTGTCACACCCTGAGCTCACTCACACACCTAACCAAAAAAGACACACAAACAGCAAATAAGTGTGTGAAAAGATGTCATATGTTATCAGGAAATTGTAAATTAAAGCAATAGTGAAATATCCCTACACACCTGTTAGAAGAAGGGCTAAAATTCTAAACACTGGCAGTATTAAGTGCTGGGGAAGATGTGGTGAAGAATGCACTTTCATTCATTGCTGGTGGAAATCCAAAGTAGTACAAGGCACTTTGGAAGACAATTTGCTAATTTCTTAGAAAGCTCAACATAATCTATGCATTTGTCAAAACCATAGAGTTTTGACACCTAGAGTGGTACAACACATACAGTGACTTGTAAGGTAGATTACCACTCTAAGCAAGAGTAACGTATCAATATTGGTTCATCAGTTGTCACAAACGTACCACACTAATAAAACAAACCAAATTTAAAAATACATATGAGCAAGAGATTTAAATAGACACTTGATCAAAGAGATATATGAATGGCAAAAAAGTACCTTTTGCTCAACATCATTAGTCATGATGGAAATACAGATTAAGACCATGATGAGATACTACTTCACACCCACTAGGATTACTCTAGTCAGAAAGGTGGACAAATATTGGCTAGGAGGATGTGGAGAAATTGGAACCCTCATACACGGCTTATGAGGCTGTAAAATGGTACAATCGCTTTGGAAAACAGTTTGGCAGTTTCGCAAAAAGTTAAATGTACATCTACCATATGATCCAGCCAAACTATGGCATATCCATATAATGGAATAGTATTCAGCAATTAAAAGGATGAACTATGGTACAGGCTACAACATGGATTAATCTCAATAAGACTGAGCAAAACCAGACGCCAATAACAAATTCATACTCTATGATTATATGAGCAGAACCAGACAATAACAAATTCATACTCTATGATTATAGACACTTCTGGGAAATGCAACATAATATATAGTAACAGGAAGAAGAGGTCACAAAGTATCAAGAGGAAACTTTTGAGGCTGTTAGATATGTTCTTTCTCTTAATGGTGGTATTTGGTTTCATGGGTGTTCAACACGTGTCAGAATTTATCAAATTGTTCTCTTTAAATATGAACAGTCTATTGTATGTCAATGATTCCTCATAAAGCTACTTAAAAAGAATAAAAATAGATGCAAAGATTGCACAAGCTATTAATTTTGAAAATCCTCTTCTTCTGGCCATAAAATTATAATACATAGCATTGTTGGTAAACTGAGAAGAAATGTATTTTAATGAAGAAAGAATTCAAGTTATATAATAACATTCTCAGAATCAAAGTGTAAAGACAAACTTTTAATTTTTATGGCAACATGACATAAAAAATGTATTTTTATTTAAGCATAAGTATCTTAGAATTTCTATTACAGGTTCACTTGACAAAATGTTTTCATCTAAGAGATTCGTTTCAGAATGTCCTTAAAATGCAAATATGGGAAGATGTGAAGAGAAGTTTGTAATTGTCAACAATGCATATTTCAACATGTTCTTATCAGGCGACAGATGTGACCATTCAGATACAGGGCAATTTCATGAGCTATAGGAAGATAAAGTTTGTGTATTATCAGAATATGGACCTATAACTTAAAATACAAAATACTCTAATTTAATGAGAAAACTGAGGCAAGACAAGGTAAAGTGATTTTATTACAGTCTCAAATTAATTTTGAAAGTGAAATCTGTATTTCCATAGTCCACGGAATTAAAAAGCTGAAGTTAATCAGGACCTAAACAGTGTTCCTGACTTTGTAGAATGATATCCCACTCGTCAAGACATAGATAAACTGCTTCTACAGTTAAGCAAGACCCCGGCATTACGTGGCCTTCTGGGGTTTCTTGCCACAGCTAAGGGGTCCCCGGTCACCCTGGCGGCTCTCCTCTGTGCGTGAACCTCTGTGCCAGCGGCAGACACATCTTGTATGACAGAATAGGTGCCGTGACCCCCTGAACTCACTCCAGCGTCCCGCTTTAACTTGAAGTGGGGTCCGTGTATGTTAATTAAGTCTTGTGATTAATTACGCCAGTCATGACTGGCACCATGCTAGGCACTGAGGATAGGAGAAAATAGAACAGAAAGGGAATCTGTCCTCATGGACAATTAAGTTCTAGGGGAACAGGCAAACACGGTAAGGAGATGGCTAAACGGTATGAAGAAAATAGACCGGGGGAAGAGGAAGAAGGGCTTGGATGTAGTGGTAACATTAGCGAGGGTGGGCAGGGGAGACCCGTCTGAGCAGGTGCAGTGTGAGCTAAGAACTGAATGACAAGAGGAAGCCAGCTCTTCAGATAAACAGCAGAGCAGATGTCCAGGAAACCTGCGCTCCAAAGTTTATTCCAAGACAAATATATGTGGAAGCGAAGAGGAATGTGAAAGGCAAACAGCAAATAAGAAATTAAAATGGCACAAGGGAGGGGCGCCTGGGTGGCTCAGTCGGTTGAGCATCCGACTTCGGCTTGGGTCACGATCTCACGGTTTGTGAGTTCGAGCCCCGCGTCGGGCTCTGTGCCGACAGCTCAGAGCCTGGAGCCTGCTTCGGATTTTGTGTCTCATTCTCTTTCTGCTCTTCCCTCACTTGTGCTCTGTCTCTCTTGGTCTCTCAAAAATAAATAAGCGTAAAAAAAAATGTAAATGGCACGAGGCAGAGTTTTGATGAGATTGATGATATCTATGCATATATTTATTTTACGTGTGATATCAGGGGAAGAAAACAAAGCTACACTCCTTGAACTTGGAGCTGTGGAACCTTTAACCAAACTGCTCACCCATGAAGACAAAACTGTAAGAAGAAATGCCACCATGATATTTGGAATCCTGGCTTCTAATAGTAAGTATCAACTCTCAGAAATAATTTCATAACCTCACGTAATGTGTTATCCTTTTTTAACAATTTCATTTTAAGGGGTTTGTTTTTCATTTTATTTGAACTGACTTTAATGTTAACAAAAAGTTAAATAAATATAATACAACAGATTATGAGTTCATATTTTAACAACATACTTTTGTTATTTATTTATTTTAATGTTTATTTATTTTTGAGTGGGGGGAGGGGCAGAGAGCAGGAGACAAAGGATCTGAAGCAGGATTTTCACTGAAAGCATAGACTCTGGTGCAGGGCTCACACTCATGAACTGCAAGGTCATGAGCTGAGCCAAAGTCGTATGTTTAACCGATGGAGCCACTGAGGAGCCCCAAGATATTTTTAAAATATAAAAATATGTGCAAATATATCCATGCAAACCAGAGTTGGTGATGTGGTAGGTTGGAGTCTAACAAGTTGAAGGGCACTCATTGTTTCTTAAAATTAAAATCGTTTTTTTTCTTGAGTTAGTATAATTATATTTGTCTGCCTATATGTAAGCTACACTTCATATGTATTTCATGGTGAAAGTAACCCAGGGTGAAGAGGTTTGATACATTTATTTTTTTGAAACTGCAAAATGTATTTTGCCAAAAATAATTTTAGACATGGAATTATTTCTTAAATCAAACCTGTTAGTTGCTTGAATATTTTCATATGTTTAATATGGTGGAATAATAGTAGTAGTTAAAATATGCTATTATGTCTGTTAGAGTATCAGATTGACCAAAACTATGTCAATAAACGCAGTCCCCGACTAATGAGCCGAATGCAGTTTTCATTTGAAAGTCATTTTCATGTTACAATGGTAGGTTTCTGAGTCAGCCGGTGAAGGCCTTGTAACTTTATAATAAAACAGGACATCCTTGGTGGAGACTGAACGAACTCTAACCAGAAACCCAGGCAGCTAGCGATAAACATGTCTGTCTCTCTCATAGCCCGCGGCTAAAATGATCATACTTCCCCCCCCCAAAACACAAGCTCAGTTTCCTCCATCAACTTCCTGACTCCCCCCTCACTTTCCTGAACCCTGTGTGAGGCAGGGCGGGGGAGGGGGATGGGGGGGGGCCTCCTTATTCCACGGTGGTGTCCAGCAGGGACTGTGGCAATAGCATCAGAGACAGGAAGACGGGAAGCGACGGGGAGGGAGAGTTCTAGGTGGTACCTCTGCCCTTACAGACAACGCGCCGAGGCTGCATGGACAGCACCCGGGTGTCGGGCAGCCGACGCGACTCCACCTGGGCTGTTAGTGGAAGGGGACCTGGCGGCAGCTGCAGGAGCTCCAACGGTGGCTCCTCCCTAGGACAGGGGCTCTGGGAGTATTTCTTAATTTTTTTTTAAATGTTTTATTTATTTCTAGGCGAGAGAGAGAGACGGCGTGAGCAGGGGAGGGTCAGAGAGAGAGGGAGACACAGACTCTGAAACAGGCTCCAGGCTCTGAGCTGGCAGTCAGCACAGAGCCCGACGCGGGGCTCGAACCCACGAACCGCGAGATCATGACCTAAGCGAAAGTCGGACCCTCAACCGACTAAGCCACCCAGGCGCCCCTCTGGGAGTATTTCTGACCGTTGTGGGGAGTCGATGCTCCACCACCCCAAATTTTGATAACATCAGTCAACACTCACACAGCATTTAACAACGTGCTGGGAGCTGTTCTCTTTCCTCAATGCTGTTTGCGTGTTCAGTCATTTAATGTGCTTGGTACTACTGTCGTTCCCTTTACATACGAGGCCACTGAGGTACAGAGAGAAGTAAACCAAGGCAGTAGTCGTTTGTATTGTGGGGCCTTCGCGAATTTATCTCAGGGGCTCTCTGTATACTAATTCCGCCATGTTGAACGAGCCGCGTTGAATAGTATTTATAACCAAAACAGGGAACACTCAAATGTTTCTGATGTTTTATTCTGTTTACACACGACAGAATTTGAGAGCCGCTGGTGCTTTGTAATACCTCTTATGCAACTCCTCGCTTTAAAAATAGAAAAGAGCTTGGAAAGGATTAGGTTCCTTGTGCCGTCATGCGGGTGGTTAATAGAAGAAATCAGATCAGTGCTAGAATTAGAACTTTACCCTCTGGCTCATGGCTGTAGTGGACTTCTGTTCATCCCATATTCTCTCATCTTAACATCAGTGCACATGCTAACTCGGCTTCTCCTTCTACGGGATTTTTGGGGAGAAAGCGTGTCCTTTGGAAAGGAAAGTTATAATTTTCTGCTTAGACTTCTGCTTTCTGACTTATTATCTAGGTTCCTAGGACTTTTGTTCTTCATTTCTATTATCCATTTTATTTAGCATTTCCATCTTCCAATACATGAGGAGCTTATACTCTGCGAAGCCCTCCAAATTGTTTGCAACATTTTCCTGAGCAGGGTTTGTGTATTGAATTTCATGCATTTCCAAAAAAAGAGTCTGTGACCCTAAAATATTGGGAATTGCGGTTGCATTTAAGTGCGAAGCATGGCAGCTCTCAGACCTGCTGAGCCCCCCTCCGCGAGCCGGCTGGCTGGGGGGCGGCCAGTGCGGGGGTGCCGTCTGCCACCATGAAACCTAACAATGGAAAGTTTTGCTGTTCTGGCTGTTTCTAGCGAGCACTTGGCCCTTAGGTATGACGAAGGAACTCCCAAGAGCTTTCTTTTCATTCCATGAATTGGGTAAAAAAAAAAATCAAGCCATTATTGGAATTAACTCATTTTGTATCTGAACTATCTGATGACATGGATAAAACGCTTGGTGTCCCCAACGGCTTGCGGAGCTCCTTCCTGTCTTCTCAGCGCGGCCAATACATTAATAGCTACTGCTTCACGTTGCAGACACGTCCAAGGTAACTGCACTAGTCTTTTACTCTAAATGAAAAGGCGTGTTTCCAGACTCATGTGCAAACAAACGCACCTCTGGTGCCCCCATGGCTAAATCATCTTTAGACTGTTTTAAAATAACTGCTTTTTCTTCAGAGATTTGTATCTTCACAAGGCTTTCATGTCCTCAGTGCTTTCACTCTGTTCAGAGTGGGTGAACCCATACGATGTTCCAACAGATTGCCTGGTGCTGAAAGGATTGCAATGGGAGCGAACCAATTCTTGACTTTTCTTCTTTTTCATTTTTCTAAAGTGATTGAGTTATGAGGCTATGCTAATCCTGGGTCATTCAAAACAAGCACTTTTTTTTAAATTTTAAATTTATTTTTGAGAGAGAGATAGAGACAGTGTGAACAGGGGAGGGTCGGGAGAGAGGGAGACACAGAATCTGAAGGAGGCTCCAGGCTCTGAACTCACTATCAGCACAGAGCCTGACACGGGACTTGAACCCATGAAGCTGAGATCATGACCTGAGCCGAAGCCGGAAGCTTAACCGACTGAGGCACCCATGCGCTCCTCAAAACAAGCATTTAAGGGGCGCCTGGGTGGCTTAGTCGGTTAAGCGTCCAACTTTCGCTTAGGTCATGATCTCGTGGTTCGTGGGTTCGAGCCCCTCGTTTGGCTCTGTGCTGACTGCCAGCTCAGAGCCTGGAGCCTATTTCAGAGTCTGTGACTCCCTCTCTCTCTCTGACCCTCCCCTGCTCACGCTGTCTCTTCTCTCTCTCTCCTAGAAATAAATAAAAATATTAAAAAAAAAACCAAGCATTTAAATGACTTTGTTAAACCTTTTCATCAAAATGGAGCTGCTGTCTCCTTTCGCGCAACCCCCACACCCCCACTTTTGTTTGATGAGTCTGACGAGGCCACTTAACAGAGACTCATTTAATCAAGTCCACTAAAGAGAGAGTTCATCGTGATCCTTGAAGCCCAAATTTTACATTACTTATGGCAGTCTGAAGAGCTTGCCGTCTTACGACAATGTTCACGTAAAAGAATATGTAAGGTCAAAAATAAATTGGGTGGTTAATATTATGCAACCAAAAAGTGTAAATAAGAATGGAATTACAACAGATTGCATGGGGGCACCTGGGTGGCTCAGTTGGTTAAACCGCTGACTTCGGATCAGGTCATGATCTCACAGTTTGTCAGTTTGAGCCCTGCATCAGGTTCTGTGCTGACAGCTTGGAGCCTGGAGCCTGCTTCAGACTCTGTGTCTCCCTCTCTCTCTGCCCCTCCCCTGCTCTTTCTCTCTCAAAAATAAATAAAAACATTATAAAAAATGTTTTGAAAAAAAAAACCAGATTGTATGAAGGTACTCCAGGAAGTGAAGGTGTTGGCAGTTCTGAAAAACCTAAAGTTGTATGTGTCATAATGTGTAGCTAAAACATATTTAAAATGAATTTTTAAAATTTACTTATTTAGTTTAAGAGAGAGAGAGGGCAAAAGTGGGGAAGGAGCAGAGAGGAGAGACAGAATCCCAAGCAGGCTCGATGCCATTAGCACAGAGCCTGATGCGGGGCTTGAACTCACAAACCGTGAGATCATGACCTGAGCCAAGATCAGGAGTCAGATGCCTAAATGGACTGTGCCACCCGGGCACCCCCAGCTCGTACATATTTATATGGACCAACCACAAGGTAGAATTTCTATTCAGTTGCCATATATGAGAGTGTTCTCCATTGAGAAAGAAGGGGACAGAGATCTATATTGTTTTTAAAGTGTTGAAAATAGCCACTTATCCATTATTTTTGCCGATTTAACCTCAAGAATAGAAAGATTTTTTAGGGACAATTTGGTATCTAATGGCTAAACTCATATCTAGAAAGGACCTTCATGGCACAGCATTTTCTGATGAAAAATGTTGAGTTGTTAGGGCAGAAAAATAGGGACAGCAAGGTGGCCCCCGCCTGTGGGAGCAGGTCTTTCCTGCAGAGAAACAAGAGAAGCAGAGAGTTGCTCCTGCAGAGAAGCAAGAGGGGCCAGTGTTGACTGTAAAATAATGTCCTCTTTGGGATGCTACACTTTCCAGAAGCTCTACTATTCTTTTGTACTTCAAGCGTATTCACGTACGCATAGCTGACTGTAAGTTTGCTGGCCCTCTTTAACCATTTTGAACAGAGACCGAGCAGAACTTTTGACAGGTTAAAGAGCAGCCGCTTCCCTGAATCCCACAGGAAAAGGTGTTCAATAAAAGTCAAGTATACCCAGCGGTTAACGAGGAAAAATCCATCCAGCAACCATCTGCCGCAAAGTGAAATTTTCCAAAATCCTAGTAATGCACATTTTGGCTTGCAGACAAAGATAACTGACCAAGAAGAACCGTTACAAAAGCTAAATTAGTACCTTATTTCTTATGCCTTAGAAAATGGGGGTTAAGTTTGGCAGGGCAGAAGTAGGGGCATGCCTGCCCGGCCCTAATTAGGCTCCCATGATTAATACAAAGATGAACTTAAAAAAAAACAATATACTTATCCTTAATCATTTTTGGCATCTCTGATAATCAAATGGAATGCACACGAGATATATTAATCGAAAAGGCTGAGGATAATTCTTACTTGCATTCTGCACAAGGGTTATTACAATCAAAATTTAAAAATGCTGTTCCCAACAAACAACACAAAAAAGAATTTCTACTATATAGTAAACAAATGTAGGGCACAGTAACTCGGCTTTACTGATTAGTGTTCTAGGTACACTTTACACTTTTCTGGTTATCTTTCCTAGTGTTTTTGGAAGGTATATAGTTCAGTGATCAAGGAGAGAGGCTAGAATTTGTCTAGGTCAGACAGACAAGGACTAAGGATTACCTAGTCTCACTGACTTGCTGATTTTGAGCCTCAGGTTCTTTATTTGTAAATTTAGGTAATAATAAAGCCTATATCATAAGGGGCTATTTAAACAACATCGCCATTATTGTTATTATTATTACTACTACTTTAATGTTTATTTTTTAGAGAGAGAGAGAGCATGAGTGGGGGAGGAGCAGAGAGAGGGAGACAGAATCTGAAGCAGGCTCCAGGCTCTGAGCTGTCAGCACAAAGCCTCACACGGAGCTCGAACTCACAAACCGTGAGGTCACGACCCGAGCCCAAGTCGGACACGTACTCGACTGAGCCACCCAGGCACCCCAGCATTGCCATTATTGTTAATAATGATAAACATTAATATTCTGTTTCTTCTTTTGTAGATGATGTTAAAAAACTGTTAAGGGAGCTAGATGTCATGAATTCCATCATCGCTCAGCTTGCTCCAGAAGGTAATTTTGCATCCCACATCTGTTTCAAAAATGGGACTGGGTTTATTTTTCACATTTGATGAGACTACTCATCGGAATAGCTTATGTAATATCAATTACGAATTGTCATTAATCTCTCTCAAACCAAGATGTGCTCTAACCAAAGTTCAGATTTGCGAAGCTTTGCTTTTTAAAACGCGTTTTAAAGTAATGGTTGAAATAGCCAAATCATGGAAAGAGCCTAAATGTCCATCAACTGATGAATGGATCAAGAAGATGTGATTTATCTATACAATGGAATACTACATGGCAATGAGAAAGAATGAAATCTGGCCATGTGTAGCAACATGGATGGATCTTGAGGGTGTTATGCTGAGTGAAATAAGTCAGGCAGAGAAGGACAGATACCACGTGTTTTCACTCTTATGTGGACCAGGAGAAACTTAACAGAGGACCATGAAGGAGAAGAAGGGGAAAAATAGTTGGGGAGAGGGAGGGAGGCAAACCACAAGAGACTCTTGAATGCTTGGAACAAACTGAGGGCCGATGGGGGTGGGAGAGAGGGCAAGAGGGGAGATGGGCATGGAGGAGGGCACTTGTTGGGATGAGCTCTGGGTGTTATATGGAAACCAACTTGACAATAAAGTATAAAAGAAAAAAAATGAAAAATAAAATAAGGTAAAGGTTGAGTATGCCTTTCGCATACTTGTGTTGTTTATCTTTGATGTGCAGAAGAAGTAGTCATTCATGAGTTCGCCAGTCTTTGCCTGGCAAACATGTCTGCAGAGTACACCAGCAAAGTGCAAATATTTGAGAATGGCGGGTTAGAGCCACTCATCAGACTGCTGGCCAGCCCAGACCCTGACGTGAAGAAGAACTCTATTGAGTGCATTTACAACTTGGTCCAGGTAAGGGTGATTTCTAAAAGTGTGTTTTGACCAAAGCTATTTATAGAATTTATTTGCCCATTAAAACGGGCAAGGTTTTAAAACGAAAAGGTTTTAAAAACTCATGTTTTGAGTCACTTTTTTTTTTTTTTTTTTGGTACTACTTAGGAATTATCATTTGGGGAAAAAAGAATGGAAGTTGTGCGTAGATACCTTTCAATTTTCATATTTTATAAGTAATTGTCTTCCATGAAAGGGCATTTTATTTTTTAAGTTTTAAATTTTAATTCCAGTACAGTTAACATACATATTATACCAGTTTCAGGTGTACGATATAGTGATTGAACAATTGTACACCTTATTCAGTGCTCATGGTGAAAAATGTACTCTTTAATATCCAGCAGCTTTTTCCCCCATCCCCCACCTACCTCCCTTCTGGTTACCATCTTTGTTCTCTATAGTTAAAGAGTCTGTTTCTTGGTTTCTCTCTCTCTCTCTTTTTCCTTTGTTCATTTGTTTTGTTTCTTAAATTCTACATATATATGAATGATATCATATGGTATTTGTATTTGAGTGACTTGCTTAGCGTTATGCTCTAGTTCTATCCACGTTGTTGTTGCAAATGGCAAGATTTCATTCTTTTTTTTACTGAATAATATTTCATTATATGTATCTCCACATCTTTATCCACTCACCTGTTGATGGATTCTTAGACTGCCTCCATAATTTGGTTATTATAAATAATGCTGCAATTAACATATGAATGCATGTATCCCTTTGAATTACTGTTTTTGTATTTTGGGGGTAAATACCCAGTAGTATGATTACTAGATCAGAGAGTAATTCTATTTTTAACTTTTTGAAGAGCCACTGTACTCTCTTCCACAGTGGCTGCACCAGTTTGCATTCCCACCAGTAGTGCACGAAGGTTCTTTTTTCTCCACATCTTTGCTGACACCTGTGTGTTGTGTGTGAGGTGATATCTCATTATAGTTTTGATTTGCATTTCCTTGATGGTGAGTGACGTTGAGCATCTTTTCACGTGTCTGTCGGCCATCCAGATGTCTTCTTTGGAGAAGTGTCTGTTTATATCTTCTACTCATGTTTAATTGGATTATTTACTTTTTGAGTGTTGAGTTGTATAAGTTCTTTATATACTGAATTTTGGATACTAACCCTTTACTGGATATGTCATTTGCAAATATCCTCTCCTATTCCAAAGTTTACCTTTTAGTTTTGTTCACTGTTTCCTTCGCTGTGTATAAGCTTTTTATTTGGATGTGTGGTCTCAATAGTTTATTTTTGCTTTTGTTTCCTTTGCCTCGGGAGCCATATCTAGAAAGGTGTTGCTATGGCCAATGCCAGAGAACTAAATTGCCTGTGCTCTCTTCAAAGAGTTTCATGGCTTCATGTCTCACAGTTAGGTCCTTAACCCATTTTTAGTTTATTTTCATGTATGGTGTAAGAAAGTGGTCCAGTTTCATTCTTTTGCATGTTACTGTCGAGTTTTTCCAACATCATTTATTGAAGGGAATGTCTCTCCCATTGCATGTTTTTGCATCCTTCACCAAAGATGAATTGTCTATATAATTGTGGGTTTATTTCTGGGTTTTCTGTTCTGTTCCATTGATCTGTGTGTCTATTGCTGTGTCAGCCACCATCCTATTTTATCACTACAGCTTTTTATATAACTTGAAGCCTGGAATTGTGGTGCCTCCAATTTTGTTTCTCTTTAACAAGATTGCTTTGGCTATTTGGGGTCTTATGTGGTTCCATACAAATTGTAGGATTGTTTGCTCCAGAATGTTGTTGGCATTTTGATAAGGATTACATTAAACGTATAGATTGCTTTGGGTCGTATAGGTATTTTAATGATATTTGTTCTTCTGGTACATGAGCATGGGATATCTTTCCATTTCTTTGTGTTGCCTTCGATTTCTTTCATCAATGTTTTATAGTTTTCAGAGTACAGGTCTATGAAAGGTCATTTTAGAAGTGTATTTAAATCTTGAAAGAATAAAATGGATTGCAAATTAAGGCAGGATGATACTAGATAAATGTATTTTTTCTTGAAACAGGAAATCTAATGCATTGAACTAGGTTTGACCCACACAGTTACCTATTGACCTAACCTTCATGATCTAAGCACATTAGATGCAATATATGCCCTAATCAGTATACCAAGATTTTGGATTAGCCTTATTTATTGGTGAGGACCTAGTGAGTTGAGTATGCTGAACAGAACTCATTGTTCATCATTGCAAGATGCTTGGCCACTGGACCTTTTTCCTTTGTTATGGAAAGAAACGGGCTCTTCTGCCTGTGCTGGCCTGTGTCCCCGCTCCTCCCGCAGCCCCCAAGGCACTCCCACACACCCACAGCCAGGTCAGCTGACACTTTGAACAGCCTTCTCTGCTTCATTTCCTGCTCAGGTTCCTGAACAATTCCCATACACATTTGATAAACTGTAAATCAACTGAAAATACAAAAATCCCATTTGAAATAGCTAGCAGTAGAGTATAAGAGAGTGAAGTGAAGATCAAGGAGGGTTCATTGAGAGGTGGAGTATCTAGACGAATTATGTAGAAAAAGAGAGACAAATGGGCTCATGCCTGAAAGCAGTAAGCGCATACCTACATTTCTGGCTTTAGAAGTCATGGCCCCTGGGCTGGGCACTCCCTGGCCTCTACGCTGGCTCCTCCCTGCTCCACTATTCCCCTTCTCTCATCCCACAGGCCTAAATAACCCCGTCAGTGTGTTACTGTCTTTCATCCCAAGACTCCTCATAGCTCTTATTTCCCTATATTTTTTTTAATCAAAGAGAAATGAAAAGACTTGCCTTCACTATTCTTCACAACAGAAGTACTGGTTAATAGCAGTGTTTAATTTCCTCTGACCGCCATAACAAAGTACCCCAGACTGGGCGGCTTAAAACAACAGGAGCTTCTCACAGTGCTGGAGGCTGGAGGTCCAACCTCGAGGTGTCAGCGGGGCCCTGCCCCGATGGCCACTCTGAGAAGCATCCTCCCTGACCTCTTCCTAGCTTCTGGTGGTGGCCGTCGATCCCTGGTGGTCCCTGGCGTGCAGCTGCTTATCATTGCAATCCCTCCCTCTGTTGTGCCTCCTCTTCTTTTAAAGACCCCAGTCCTATAAGGACACCATGAAGCACCTAACCTGCTCTACTATGACATTATCTTAATTGATGACATCTGTAATGACACTGTTTCCAAATAAGGTCCCGTTTTGAGATACCGAGGGTTAGGACTTCAACATATATTTTTGGGGAGAAGAGGAAACAATTCAACCCATAGCAAACAGCTTTCCACAGTTTTTATGTCGCTAGGAAGCATCCATTGAAGGGTAGATAGAGAAAAGCTCTCTGTTAATGGGACCTTTCCACCTTAATACTATGTGACATTTATGATGTTTTGATTTTAAGTGTCATGATTAGCAGTCAGAGTTTGGGGGCTTTTCGTGACCTTTTGCTTGTTTTTCTCCATTGCTCACCCCACCCTGCCCTCTCCCCACCACTCACATACACAGAATAACACACAACGTAGAGCAACTCATCCAGACTCTAATGACCCCTTGATAGTATAAATGTCTTAAATAAAGACTATGTGTCCGAACTAAACCTGATAGAAATTTGCGTGCACGGGGCCGGCCAGCAGCACTGTGTGCGTGTAAGCCTTTCATAAATGATCCATTTGGATGAAGATAATAAGGAATAGATGCCATTGTTTCATTTTATCAAGTACTATTTGAAACAGAGTATAGTCAAGAGCATTTGATCACGCACAGATTTATTATTGTAGTGCTGTTTGTAATGAAAGGCCTTTGCTGGATAATCAAGAAACAATAGATACTGCAAAAGTCATAGATGACCTCTACTTGCTGTTATTCACAGTGTTTGCTTAGTTAAAATGAATATTGAGGTGTTGTCACCTGAGGGTTTTTCTTACTTTTTGTGTGAGTTACTTTGAAAGGGAATCTGGAATAAAAGATGGCAAATTGAGAACTTATAATGTCCTTTGTTAGAACGTAGTTTCTCCATGACTATTTTTGCTTTACAATTTTCTTATTTGATCATTTGTTTCTCATGGCAGGATTTTCAGTGTCGAACTACACTTCAGGAACTAAATGTGGTCCCCCCCATATTAGATCTCTTAAAGTCAGAATATCCAATCATTCAGTTGTTGGCTCTCAAAACCTTAGGTGTTATTACGAATGACAAGGGGGCTCGAGCGATGCTGAGAGACAATCAAGGAGTGGACCACCTTATTAAAATCCTAGAAACGAAGGTATTTGAAACTTCCATTCAACTTTCTATGAGGAAATGTATCTCTCTTACATGTTGCTCTAAAATATGAATCTAGAATGTTTTCAAAAATGAAATTTTATTATATTTAAGCATAGTTTTAAGTAAAACGGACTAATTTGTTTATTGCTACACCGTTTATCAGCACGATTAAATCAGATGAATGATAGAGGCCATTATGAAAGACTTCTTTTGAGGGGCACCTGGGTGGCCCATCGGTTAAGCGTCTGACTCCTGACTTTGCCTCAGGTCATGATCTCATGGTTTGTGAGTTCAAGCCCCGCATCGGGCTCCGTGCTGACAGTGTGGAGCCTGCTTGGGATCTGTCTCCCTCTCTCTCTGCCCCTCCCCTCCTTGCTCTCTCTTTCTCTCTCTCTCTCTCAAAATAAATAAAAATTGAAAAAATAAAATAATTTTATTCTTCTGGTTTAGAAATTTAAGATTTTTAAATTCTTGTTTAGGATCTTCTTCATGATTTCTGGAAATACCTAGAAGTAGTCTTTAGGCTTTATTAGACATAGTTTTCTCCAGGATAAAGCAAGAAGAGTTATTTACTCTCCATGTGGAGAGTCACCTGCTTTACTCAGCCTACTGATTTAAATATTCTTTTCATTTGAAGAAATACCTTCATGGAAACATCTAGAATAATTTTTGACCAAATATCTAGATACCGTGGCCTAGCCATGAAAACTTAATCATCACAACTCAACTTGGTACCCATACATATCTCCTTAAATCATACTTAATCTCAAAATCAAGGCAATAGCAAGGTCCTTGCATGCCTAGCATGATGTAACTATCCTGTGTTCAACCAAAATATACTAACCGTTTCCCCCGAAGAGGATGCAGTGTCCTCAGGTGATATTTACTCCTCCCCTTGACATCCTGTAACTTAAATACTATGATTTAAAATTAATAATAAATACTAATTTATAAAGTCAGTGCATCTTGTGTTACCTGAGGGGATAAGAGAGGGAAAAAACCCAAAGATATTTCATACATACACACACGCACACTTATTTTATAACAAAATAAGGAAGAAAGACTCATGGCGGTTACAACCCTCTTGTCTATAAGTGGCCACCTGGTGGTAGTTGGTATTTCTAACTGTCTTCCTCCAATACCCACACCACATTCCCTTTGCCTTCAGCAAGCACTTCAGCTGGATGTGGTTCTTTATCTGGTAGGGCGATCCATATCTTCATGCCTGAGGCTCTGGACCATTTGGTAGTCCTGCCTGCTGCCTGCGTGGGTTCTTGTAGTTTTCCATTGACCTTATTCCCAGAGCGTGGTAATACAAAGAGATACCCTAAGGACTTCCTGTATTCCAGATATTCTCTTCTTTACCTCTATGGTGTGGAGTACAGTCCCATTTCCCACCGGTGATTGGGATCAGTCACCCCAGCAGCGCAGGAACTTCCTTCATTGCCTGCTTATTTAGAGGCATGGGGAGGCCAAAGTGGCTGGGTGGTGGCTTTAATTTCTAGTTCAGTGGAATCATTGCTGTCCCTCTTGGTGGAATCATTCTCCCCTTTGGAACTAAGAGCTCTAGGCCAACAGAGCATAAGTCCTGAGAGACAGCAAGCAAAAATATGGCTAGTGGGCCACTAGCGGTAACGATGACTGCTACCACGCACATTTCCACCCCTTGACTCCTGGGCCCACCATCACTGGCTAGGGGAGATACAGCACCGTATATTGGACGCTGATTCAGAATGTATATAAAGTGGAGAACCTTGCCCAGGCCCTGCAAAGTATTGCCACTTCGCTGGCACTGTAACTAGGTCTTCAAAAGCCCATTCTGTCAAGCTAGCTGCTTCAGGATGGTGGGACATGAGCATGGGCCCACTGTCACCCTTCATTTGCTGTGAAGAGACCTCCTTGACCAGAAGCATTGCTGTGTTGGATCCCATGATGGTGGAGGCCAGAGGGTCACAAATGTACAACACTTCCCTCTACCAGGTGGAGATTTTAAGGAATATACTTCCCTTCAGCTCCTGTCTGCTTTTTCAAAGAATATTTTCTTCAGGTTTTAAAATTGTTGTCAGTAGGAGGTTGTATGAGCAACTTCACTTGGCTACTATTACTGCAAGTGTCTTATATCTGTGAAAAAATTATCTTTTATCTGTGAGACATTTTGGAGTAGGGGAAGCAAGAAAAGATGGGGCAAATTGTGAGGGGGAGTGATGTTATGATAATATACAGAACTGTTTCTTCGGGCACCTGTCACAACAATGTTAACAACCTTATGTTCTGACTGACCTTTGTCTTGTAGCAAAATTTGGGATTTGATTTTACTTTCAGTACAATTTTCTGATGTTGTATTTGCTTTTATTATTAGGAATTGAATGACCTTCATATAGAAGCACTTTCCGTGATAGCCAATTGCCTTGAAGATATGGATACTTTGATACTGATTCAGCAGACGGGGGGTCTTAAGAAGCTCCTGTCCTTTGCAGAAAATTCTACAATTCCTGATATTCAGAAGAATGCAGCAAAAGCAATTACTAAAGCAGCTTATGATCGTATGTCTCATTTTATATAAACTAAGCACACATGCTTTCTCTTGTATTCTTGATTTTGATTAGTACTAACAATCATTAGAATATTTGTCTTATTTTTAGAGGGTTTTTTTTTTTTTTTTTTTTTTTTTTGAGAGAGACAGGGTAAGCAGGGGAGGGTCAGAGAGAGAAGGAGACACAGAATCTGAAACAGTCTCCAGGCTCTGAGCTAGCTGTCAGCACAGAGCCCGACGCAAGGCTTGAACCCATGAACCGTGAGATCATGACTTGAGCCAAAGTTGGACACCCAACGTACTGAGCCACCCAGGTGCCTCTGTCTGCTTTTAATTAATTTTTAAAGCTTATTTCTTTTGAGAGAGAGAGAGCGCGTGCATGTGTGCTTGTGTGGATGCATGCGTGTGGAGAAGCAGAGAGAGAGGGAGAGAAAGAATCTCAAGGAGGCTCTGCGCTGTCAGCACAGAACCCGACACAGGGCTTAATCTCATGGACTAGATCATGACCTGAGCCGAAATCAAGAGTCGGACACTTAACCAGCTGAGTCAACCAGGCGCCCCAGCATTTGTCTGCTTTTAAATGAACATTTGAGAATAGTGCCATAGCTACTAGTTAAGGTCAAAATTCCTCTCAATGACAATTAATAAGTAGAGATTGCTCTGTCAGGGATATAATTAACTCAATATGGTTTAATTATGGATCTATCTTTTTTTTTTAAGCAATTCGTTCCTAAATTAAGCCTTTCTTTCCCTTGATTTTGAAACTTTGCAGAATCCATGCATTGTGATACTGAAAAATGTTGTTTCAACATATCCTCATTTGGAATGAGATCTGTACAGTAATTTCAACTTCAGCTGGAGATAGGCAGTACCATGTGATATAGCTGGGAAGAATAATATGCTCGTACTATATACAAAATACCATTTTCATTTCAGTGGCAAGCTATGTTGACATAAATCTGTAAAATATGAGAGATTAATTACATCACAAGCCCTGACGATGAAATTATAGTTTTAATTTATGTATATTTGGAGTATTTTATTTAATAAAAGATGTGATTTTATTTCCCTCCTTCCACACCACTCCTCTTGTAAATGATGACAGTTTTGACTAGTTTAAGTGATTTATTTCTAAACATATACACTCGCATCTGTATATTTGTGTCTATGTGTATATTACGGGGAATACTTCCTTTTCAATCCATACCGAGTTCTTCAAGGCAGAGTTTTACAGCAGTAAGCTGAATGTCACCGTCTGGTACATAGTTAACATAGAGAGGACTTGTGAGTTACATTGTAAATGCCAAATCTAGACAGGCTGTAAAATTAAGGCTTTTAATATTGGCAAAAGTTGCTGACTCAGTATTCTGTCAAATGGAATTTAGACCTTCTCGGGTCTGGTCAGTTCTGTTTCCACCTATCCCAGGCCTTGTTATCTGCTTCAGACCAAGAGAGAGTGCAATGGCAAGAGACGGACAATATCGAAGCTAAAACTTTTGCACCTTCTCTTTTGCGTGGCTGGACCATTTACAGATGGTCACAGCCCCTCTTGGGATAGTGAGTTTCATGAATTTATTACTCATCATGTGACGTAGCCGTGGGAAGAGCACTGGATGGAGAGTCCCTGGTGGTCCAGCTCGACCACTCATCCCACTACCGGCAAGGCAATGATTAGGTTGTGCCGATGAGTGAACCACAGCCTCTCTGGACTTATTTATTAGTTCATTTACTAATAATTTATTGAGCCCCCCACTTTGTGTCAATAAATCCAGAAGAGGCAAGGAAACAGGTGATCACACTGTGCTTGATGGCGGAGGGACAGGATCACCCGGGAGGGCCACTGAAAGTCAGGTCGGGTCAGATAGGTCTTCCTGACATAGGTAATTTACAAGCTAGGACCTAAAGTAAATAATAGATGTCGGCTGGGCGAAGATGGCCCCAGTGGGATGGGGAAGGGTCACCAGTGCTCTAAGGGGAAGGAACAGTGTATAAAGGCCAGAGGAGGGACAGAGCATGGTAAATTCTAGAACTGAAAGTTTTCAGAATGGCTAGTGAATAGAAATGCAGCAGGAAAGTGAAGGCTGTAGAAGTAATGAGGAGCCAGATGCTAATGGGCTCTCTAAGCCAAGTTAAGGACTTTGGACCATATTTTGATGGCAACAGAGAACCATCAAAGTGGCTTAAAGAGGTGAGGGGCCACTGCAGATGTTCACTTGGAAAAGAAAGAGCACTCTTGCTGCAAAGTGGAGGTGAGATTAAAAGTGGGCTGGATCAGACCCAGAAAGGCCAGGAAGGGGACCGCTGCGGGAATCTAGGTGGAAGGTGAAAGTATCCTGAAACAGACATTTGCCAGGAAAACCCCCAGAACAGTGCTAGGCACATTGGGAGGGTCCATAAGTGTTTGTTGAATGACTACATGGGTTAAAGAAGGAAGACCGTGGTGTCAAAGATAAGGCCAGGTTTCTGGCTAGGACAGCTGGGAGTAGAATGTACCCTTCACAGAAATGGGGAACTCAAGAAGAGGAGCTGTTTTTCATTAAAGGAAAGGAAATGAGTTCTATTCTTAAAAAAAAAAAAAAAAAAACTGTAGTAAGATACACATAATGTTAAATGTAGCATCTTAACCATTTTTAAGCTCAGTGGTACTAAGTACATTCACACTGTTGTACTGTCATCACCACCATCCATCTCCAGAGCTCTTTCCGTCTTGCAGAACAGACCCCCTGCACCTATGAAACAAGAACTCCCCATTTCTCCCTCTCTGCCCTCCCCGACAGCCACCAGCCTTTCTCTCTATGATTTTGACTATTCAAAGTACTGATATAAGTGGGACCGAGAAATATTTGTCCTTTGTGACTGGCTTCTTTCACTTTGCATGATTTATCCTCAGTTCACCCGTGTTGTGGCATGCATCAGACCTTCCTTCCCTCTTAAGGCTCCATAGCATTCCGTTGTATGTATATATCACGTTTTGTTGATCTGTTCATCTGTTAATGGACACTTGGGTTGCTTCTAATTTTTGGCTATTGTGAATGGTGCTAGGAACATACATATACAAATAGCTCTTCAAGTCCCGGCTTTCAGTTCTTTTGGGTATATACTCGTGACTGGAATTGCTGGATCATATGGTAATTGTGTGTTAAATATACCGAGGAACTGCGTACTGTTTTCCACAGCAGCTGCACCATTTTACATGCCCATCAACAGGGCACAAGGGTTCCAATTCTCCACATCCTCACCTATAATTGCTATTTTATTTATTTACTTACTTATTTAGTTAGTTAGTTATTTAGTTAGTTAGTTAGTAGCCATACCAATGTGTGTGAGCTGTGTCTCATTGTGTTTTGATTTGTATTTCTCTAATGATTAGTAATATTGAGCTTTTTATCCATGTGCTTATTGGCTCTTTGTTTATCCTCTTTGGAGAAAGGTCTATTTAAATCCTTTACCCAGTTTTTTTTTTTTTTTTTTTAAATCAGGTTGTTATTGAGTCATAGGAGTTCTTTATATATTCTGGATACTAACTCCTTATCAGATGTGTGATTTGCAAATACTCTCTCCCATTCCGTGGGTTGCCTTTTCATACTATTGATTGTGTCCTTTGATGCACCGTTTTTAATTCTGATGGAGTTCAATTTATCTAGTTTTCCTTTTGTTTCCTGTGCTGTTGATGTTATATCCAAAAAATCATTAACAAATCCAATGTCATGAAAAGTTACCCCTATATGTTTTCTTCTAAGAATTTTATAGTTTTATCTCTTACATTTAGGTCTGTGATCCATTTTTGAGTTGTTTTTGTATATGGTGTAAGGGAGGGTCCAGCTTCATTCTTTTGCATGTGGAAATCCAGTTTTCCTAACACCATTTGTTGAAATCCATTCTTTATTTGTAATACAAAGAAACTCAACCAGACAGTCTTCAAATCCCATCTGGCACTTGATGTTTTATGAATCTACTTCCTTATGTTCATTCTAAAATGACTCCATCCCAGTTCCAAATTGTGTCTCCTCACTATTTTAGAATCAAATGACTAAATCTGTATTTATTTCATCTATGACATTTGTGATTTTTTTTATGTTTCCTTTAACCATTATTTTTCCAGCCTGAAGGATCTTTATTTAGTCTTTTCCCATTCATCATGTCCTTATGCTATCTTGTAATCATTCTCTTACTTTTCCTGGACTTTCTCTCATTCATGATCCCCTCTTTCATGCGGGGTGATGTATATTATGAGCAGCATTTTAAAAACATGCACCATCATTTTATGTAATATACAGATTTGGTTATCTTATGATTATTTTCAACTTCAGTTTTATGAAGCAAGTATTTTAATCAGCATTTTGACCATATCGGCACACTGGGCCAACACTTGAGTGAAAGACCTTCAGTGAACCCCAGATCCCATTTCTCCAGCAGGACCCAGAGTTCAACGTCTTCCATTTTAAATTTAACATTTTTCAATTTGTGGTTAAAAAATGCAAATTTTGCTGTGAAAATAATATTGCCTTGTCACTGAGGCTAAGTATATGATCAACATGTGCGAGTCTTCTTTGAAATCTTGAAAAGGTATGCTCCTTGCTTACTACTTAGCAAATATTTATTGTATGCATGCTATATGCAAGGCACCAATCTAGAAGAGAAAGGTAAACAATGAATAAAATAAGCGAATAAATATTTGTTGAATAGACAAAAAGGTGTATTTCCAGGGGAATGTCGAGTTTGATATTTACCTTTTAGTTCAGCTTTATAAATTGTATCATACAATTTTTGTCATCTTTATTTTTTTTATCTATTCTTTCATCTATCACAGAAGAAGAGCAGCATGTTAGAAATTTCTCACTATTTCTGTTGCTTTTTTTCTTGTAATTTTATTTTAACTAACTTCACTTTGTTTAACATTGTTTCATATCCAGTCTTGATGTTTTAAAAAATCCCACTTACTGATTTTTAGCTTTAGGTTCTAATTTGATATCAAGATTGACATTTATCATCAAATATGGTCTTGGCAGA